AAATTTGTCATTTCAAATAAGAAAATGCAAAAAAAAACTGAAAAGGTCAAAGGGCATCCTGCAATTCCCAAAAATATGAATGAAAATCCCAAAAATGGGATTTTTTACTTTTTTGCCCATAGGGTCCACATTTCTTTCAGGGCTGGGAAAATACTTTTGGAGTAAATAGAAAACATATTGAGGATTCCAAAACTGCTTTCAGTTTTCTGATCCCAGCTTTGGGATTTTAGAACATGTCGCCCAAAGTTGAAGTTTTGATAAAAAATAGGTCATATTCGGAAGGACGCAGTGGCAACATTTTCAAAAAATAGGACAAGTTTTTTACGCCAAAGCGTTCTGCGTAAAGATACCTTTTAGAAAACTATAAAATTGTTATACATATGTTCTTAAAGAAAATTTTATTTTCAAAAACAAAATTACGCCCGGTATTCAAAAAAAGGCGGACCAAGGTATGGTAAATTTTGTATCACTAAATTTTTAAATGCCTATAACTCGGATATTATAAGAGATAAGTAGTATGCCCAAAAAATATAAAAATCTTTGTATTTGGGTGAAAAACAAAAAAATGGCACGAGTTTAAAAATTGTACATGTCGTAGGTACCCTACTTTGAGCCGCCACAGCGCCGTCCCTGGGGCATCTGCAGGGTTCATCTTCAAAACTTAAACTCGAATACTCCTTGGCTACGCTCACGCCATGACCCCTATTACAATCAATAACCAATTAATAACTCAACATTCGGACATTAAATACCTCGGCATACATCATGATCGCCTAACGTGGAAAAAATATATACATAGATGCAAAGTTGATACAAATTAAATTAAAGGTAAACCAAATAAACTGGCTTATTGGTAGAAGCTCCAAGCTTAGCTTAGATTGTAAACTCATCCTTTCGCCCATGTGATGACAATCGCAAGATTATCAAATCGCAAATGATTTGAAAATCGCCAAATTTGTTTAAGTATGTGATGAAGTTCGCGCGTTTTGTTTGCGTTTAGTAATTTTTCTAAGTCTTTTTCGAAACAATAAAACATAAAATAAAAAGGAAAACCGTCAATACAAACGAAAACAATTGAAAAAATTATGAGAAACATCCAAAAAATAATAAAACATACATACATATCGTCACCTAAAACGCCAACGGCCCTATCTAACATTTTTAAAATTTTACAGGAGAAGCAAAAACCTATTTATATTTAAAAGTTTGTTTCAGTCAACGCGATTTATTTGTTTTTGGTCAATTTGATGTGGACATTTGTTTTGATGCAATACATTAGAATCAACAATAAAATCGATTTTGAATTTTTGGTTAGTTAGGGCCGTTTGCGTTTCAGGTGACGATATGTGACAGAAAATAAAAAGGAAAATGGTCAATACAAAAGAAAACAATCGAAAAAAATTATGAGTAAAATCCAAGACTTTTTTGAAATTGTTATTTTTAAATAAAATTATTAAAAAGCGTTATTAGTCCTCATCAACACTAGAAGAAAACATGTCTGATTTAATTTTTCAATCATTTGATCTATAGCACACTTATTTTGCGATTTGATTTCACAATCGCCAATGTTAGACGAAATGCGGTTGTCATCACATGGCCGTTTATAATTCTATTGTAAAACCACGGCCTAAGCATCAAATATAGAAAAAATTCAAAGACGCAAAAATAAGATTCTTAGAATAATCACCAATGCCCCTTGATATACATATCAAAAACTCAAATATACATAAATAATTTAATTTAAATCTACCATTAGTGAAAGCTGATATAGAAAAGCGCGTTGTAAATTATTTCACAAAGCTTGAGACCCACCCGAATAATCTTGCCCGCGAAATATTGAATTACAACGGCCATATCCGATTAAGGAGGAGAGACACAACCGAAATTATCCGATTCCAGGAGGAAGCAGTACCAACATAAGAAACCTGATTTTTCGTTCGGCAATGGCTGGACTTAATAAATGGATTTTAAAATAAATATATGAAGTAGGTACTTATTGTTAGTGGATTTAAAAAAATGAAGATACAATAAATAAATGCAATACGAAAAAAATATTGATTCAGATGATGAACATTTTGTATTGTTTGTACATTTACAGATACATTTTAACATTTTGTACAACTCTTAGATATTTCAATGACACTAACATCATGTCTCATATCCGCTCAAATTTTCGCTCCAATTGAAAATCAATACATTTCCCGCGTCCTCTATATGTAGACGATTCCAATTTTCCCGGTTATTTTGTACATTTCTTCAATATATTAAACAGAAGATAGTACGTACCTACATGCAATTTGAGAATATTTTGCAAAAAATATTCGTTCATTACTCATTTAAATTATTAATTCTTTTTAATGCACCGTTATATTTTAGAACTGTATCCTTTAACTGTTTTTCTTCTGTAAGGTCATTTTTTGAGTTTGATTATACACTGAAAATAATCCATGCTTAACTTTACGAAAAAAAATTTCGTAACTACTTTTTTCGTAATATTTACAAAAATTTCGTGTATAATACGAAATGTTATTTAATAAAACCCTTTTCTATTTTTACGAAAGTACGAAAACCTTTCGTAATATTGTTTTCTTAAATTTTAGCGAAATTAAACATAATGATATTAATTTTATTACCATTAAGGGCCAATCTTTAGGTGAAAGATTAGCGATTAAATTAAAATTAATCCTCGAAAGATGTTTTTGAGTACTCAATTAGTTAATTTTGTTTGCAAGTTTAAGCGTCCAATGGAGGTGGTTTAATCTTAAGCACGAAATGCAAAAGTGTAAACAGCTGATTCAAAAAAATTAATAATATGTTTATAAATATAAACATTAAAATGTTCTATTTATTGATTAGTATAAATTATGGCCACTTCAAAATACATTTTTTTGTTTTTAATTTAAGTTTTCATTAATTTTCATATTAAATTTACAATTGTCTTCTTCTTTTTTATAAAATATGCATTGTTTTGATAACAAACATTGAAGTTTTCTGTTGTTTTGTATGGCAACACTGCGAAGTTTAATCTTGTACTCAAAAACATCAAAGGGGATTAACATAAGATTAAATTTATTTTTAGATTAACTAAACTGATTATTAATTGGCATTTGATTACCATCTCAAAATCTTGCTCTAAATAAAACTACAACATTTTTATAAAATTTAAGAAAAAGTATAATATAATTCACGAACTATTTTCATAAAAACAATGTAAAATTCGTGTGGAGAATAATTTTTAACTAAAATTAGAAAAATTATTTTAAAATGAACAAAAATGTTTGCATAAACTAATATTTCGTAAATTTTGCATATTTATTCAAAATTCACTTTTTTCAATTTATGTAAATCAATTTTTCAAAGATTATTTTGCATTATACTGAAATATTTCGTACAATTTCGTTATATTACGAAAGAATTTCGTGGTGCGAAACAACGAAAGATTCGTACAATGTACGACATTTTTCGTATATATTAGGCATGGATTTTTTTCAGTGTAGAGGTGTTGTATTTAAAAAATAATTTACAAAAACATAGATTAGTATTTAAAATTTTTGCAATTGGAAAATTTATTAGGACAGTATTTATTACCTATCATGTAAATTGAACAAATATTTTAAAAAATATTACAAAATATGTTTTTAAATACATGCTGTACGGACAATTGTTTGAGTCAGATTAAATTTCAATGAATGTAAAACCTTTTTAAAAGTAAATGTTGTTGGGCTTATTTCATATTGTCATATGAAATCCAAAAGGTCCCAAGTTACAAAAAAAACAAAATCGACTTTTTTATTGATTATGACGCAACGTTTAAAAATACATGTTCCTACTAAATTTTACACTTCTACAATCAAAATCAACGTCGCTATTTTCGAAATTCTAAAAGATTATGTTCTAAAAATACCTTAAAATTCATGAAAATTTTAAAATTCTTTTGAGTTTTTAACTTTGAAATTAGATATTTTTGTAACAGCTTTAGAATTTTTTCAAAAAAAAATTCCAATTTCCGAAAATTTGTATGAAAACAAAGAGGCCTTATGCTTTCCATGTTTTTGAATATTTGATCAACAAAAACCGATTTTAATTTAGTTAAAAATGTTGAAACTTACTATTTTTTAATGTAACAAACCTCCTTTTGGGTTTCAGAAAAAACAAATTGTCAAGGGCGTAAGTTTCATATCCCCGCAATTAAAACAAAAACCGAAAATTTTTCTTCAAATACTAATTTATCAATAAAAAATAAGCTTAACTTGAGAAAATTTTGAAAATTATTTATCATTTTAAAAGGTTTTTTGCTTCTCCTGAAAAATTTGTTCAATGTAACTTAGGGATTTTTGGATTTCATAAGATGATGTTTTTTATTTACAAAAAATATAAGATATTATACCTTAAAGTGGTTTTCTTAATCTAAATTTAAAATAAAATGAGAATTTCCCAAATGTAATCAGTTTAGAAGAACTGCTTTATATATTTCCTTCGATATTATTTGCAATTACAAAACCCATGCAAAAAAATTACAAAAAATAGTAATTACGTGTTTTCGTCAAATATTTGATAGATGTGAATGTACCTTTAGTTTTTTAATTTCTTCAAATAAGAAACTTACATATCTGAAACAGTTTAAATGATTTTTTGTACAGCCGGTACATTACCATCACAAAGTATACAAAGGTGTCATCTGATCTGGGGTTTAACGAACACCAACTTCTAAAAATGTTATATCTGTTCTAAAAATGCTGAAACTAAAAAAGAAGTGACAAATGTTTTTACGTTTTTCAGCTTATTTAAAAGTGCAATCAACTCATAAAAATATTGCTTGCGGTCGTAAATGCAGTACAAAAGGAAATTTTATGAAACTCCTATCACAACCGCATCTGTATTTAAGAACGCACCCATTATTTGAATACAATCTAGTATAGGTATCTAGGGCTATATCGTTACTTCAATAAAAATGCGGAAATGTCTAAATATCTTTAACTAATTTAATGACACATAAAAGATATTTTTATTTTGAAATGTTTTATTTTTATCCAATGAAGTTCATTACAACCAAATGTAAAATAACATGGGCAAAAATGAAATCAGCAAATCCTCGTTCTGGTGAAATTCCTGCAAACACATTTTTGTTTTGTGGGTTTGCTTGTAACCTTAAGCACACTCCCAGTACAAAACAGCTCACGGTACTGATAAATCCAGAGAGAAAAGAATTAAAGGGAAATGTGCCAACCATACAACAATAAACGAATTGAATTATGCCGGTTAGTAATATATAAGCAAGATAAATATCAACGATTTTCAATTTCTTAGGCGTCTTGCTTATGTAGTCATTGTAAAACTTTTCCAAAACTGCTTTTATTTCCACCATTTTTAATATTGCGAAAGATTATCAGGTTTTACAATTATACTAACAAACACGTCAACTAATAAAAAACTGATGAGCATAAACAATATTCGACAGCAATATGTACAGGGTGACAACAATAAACAGTTATTTTCAATGGGAATTTATCACCTGTCTCTATTAGAGAAATATTTATTATGCTAAACGTCAAACTGTTGTCATGATAACATATTAGCAGGTACAGACAGCATTTATTAGCGTTATAGCGCGTTATGAATGTGTTGTCTAAACAATTGTTTAGACAACGTTGTCTTGATAACAAACGTCATTGTATTGTAACCAGTGTGTATTATTTATAATGCTAAACGTCAAATTGTTATGATAAAAAATTAGCAGGTACAGACAGTATTTATTAGCGTTATAACGTCGTTATGACAGTGTTTTTATTTTGAAACATTTTATTACCCCTACGTATTAACATAAACAAAAAACTGAACATTTTCTGCCGACGTTTTGTCAAGTGCCGTGATAAATATTTGTCTAATATAGAATCGGTATAAAATTTGTATAGAATTTTGTTTTTGTGCAATTAAAATGGATTTTTAACATACGTTTTAGTGAAATTAGTGTTTATTTACAAAATTTACAATAGCAAATACAGCATTATTTCAGTAAATTTATCTATGAGTTGTCTTGATAAAATCAGCATTTTGTTACCCCTATAATTAACATAAAAAACTGACAATTTTTCTGCCGACGTGCTGTGATAAATATTTGACTAATATAGAAATGTTTAAACCATGATAAAAAAACTATTTGGTATAGTCACTATTAGCGTTATACCATCGTTATGACAATGTTGTGAACATTGTCAAACCACCTTTATACCCCATTTACACATACATGAAATCTATTAGATTTCATTTAAAATCATTTTGCAAATCTAGACGTTTACACTTACTTTTTTTTTTGACATTTAGGAAGATTTAATTTTTTTCTTATATTTCTCGCAAAAGTGTGATATGAAAAATAAGAGGGAAAAATGGGATATTTATTAAAATTGTATTTATAATAAAACAAAGTGCTATATTCGGCTGTGCCGAATCTTAAATACCCTCCACCGGCAAGCTACTTTTTATTAAAACCCATTTAACTGTATAATTTTTAAATAATTTGACAAAATTGTTGTTTCCGTTGTGAGGGTATTAACACTAGTGACCGCAAAAAGTCGATGTTGCAATCTTGTTCGTCTTAACCGCACAAAATTATTCCCCTTTCCAGATATTGAGATAGCCAAAATTTGAGCTCGATTAATAAACGTTAACACGTGCCGCTCGTCGCTCAAAGTTTGAATAAATCCAAAGTTTTGGCCACAAAGCTAACATATTAAGCTATAACTCCAGAACGGTAAATAATTGAAACACACTTAGTACCTCAAAACAAAGCTAATATTGTACTTCAAAATTTACATTATACACATAATTCTTCTTATTTTAAGTCGAACAGAGTTACAACGGATTTTGTGTCAGAAAACGTGACCTGGTCGCGGTAGGAGCATACTTCGTAAATTTTGATATTATGTGATAAATGTTGCTATTAGCTAAATATTTTACATATTATTGTTAAAGAATCATAATGTACATGGATTTAGTATTTCAAAAAGATGTAAAACACAAAACTTGGTTCAAAAATGTAAAAGTTATTAAAAATTCCCCAGGCACTTGATTAGGAAATGTGGAAAAAATTTAAATTATTTTGGAAAATATTCTAATAAAACTATTTTATTACATAAAATATATCTATATTTACTCGAATATATGTTTTTATCATTTAAAGATATTGTGGACCTGTTCTCAGCTATGATAAAAAAAATATTTTTTACACGGCAGTTTCAAAACTCCATTTTAAGTTTTTTTAAATCTTTGTTAAACAAATTTTAATATTTTATGGTCAAAAGATTAGGGAATAAAACAGTGAAAAAATTAGGTCAATACCTCTTATAGTTAAGCTGTACCTGCGACTTGAACTCTTGCGAATTTCAAGAAAAACTATTTTTTGTAATATTTTAAACAAAATATTTACATAATATTATTTCTTAGATAATATAAAATATTTCCCTGAAGTTATATATAAATCGGGAAATCCTAAGGCGTAAACTTTGGAGGTCAAAGGTAAAATTTTGCAATATTTGTAAATTCTCATTGAAACATATCGAAATATTATTTATTTGTTGGCCATATTTACTAAAATTACAAGAATTGATATTTAAAAAAACAACAACAAAATTAAAATTAACCCTTTAAAGCACTTGGGTCCAATATATTCCCAAAGTTCAATAAATCAATTTTAATAATGCTCTATATAATTTTAAAAAATAAAAGGTTAATTTTATTTTTTTGTTGTTATTTTAAATATCGAACCATATATTATAAATTCCTATAATTTTAGAATATATAGCGAACAAATAAATAATATTTCGACATGTTTTAATGAGAATTTTTAAATATTGAAAACGCATATCGGGTAAATACCTCATGTGGGGTTTATATACAAAATATAAAACAATATACGTAGATTAATTTGTTAACATTTAATAGGAAAAATATTATTGATATATTAAGTTGGTACATGCGTACCAATCATTATTTATTATTTATAAGAAAACTATTCACAAAATGCTTGGTATTTTCAGATTTTTTACATAAATTATTCAAAATACTATCGAAGTTTTTCTCTGTTTTAACTTAAATTTTTAAATAAAAAAATGTAAACAATAACAAACTCTGACATCAGTGCGTACCAGTCAAGTGAAGAAAAAATAATCAGCTGATTGAATAACACCACCTTATGTTAATTCGCCTTGGTGGTGTTATTCAATCAGCTGTTAATTTTTCTCTTAATTCGCCTGGTTTACGTAGATGTCAAAGTTTGTTATTGTTTACATTTTTATATTTAAAAATGTCCGTTAAACGGAGAAAAACTTCGTTAAAATTTTAAATTATTTATGTAAAAAATCTAAAAATACCAAGCATCTCGTAAACAAATATCACTTTATGTAAATAATGGCATAATTGGTATGTGTACAAAAATGTTATTTAAGAGAAATATTTTTTTTTTAATTAAATGTTAATATATTAAACAATATTGTTGTATATTTTATATTAACATTGTATAGATAACGTGATTAACTAAATAAAATCTCTTCCGAAACACTTTATATAATGAAACACATATGAAGAATTTAGCTGGACTGCTTACTTCTACGTCTTAGCTTAATTTTGAAATCTATTAAATGTTAACAAATTAAACAATTGTGAAATTCCCTTTTTGTTGTTGAACGGAAATGGCATGCTGGTCTTAGCTGCGGCTGTAGCTCGCCGGAAATGGGGGGGTTGTTTTTCCGTAGGTTTTCACAATTACAAATTCATGCCATATAAATGAAATAATAAAAAAATAAGATTGCATTGTTCGTATCACCTGATGTAGTTAGCGGACAGACTTTAGACGATCGGACAAAATGACAGACTTGACCTTAATGGACTTAAGTCTCCAGGATTAGATGGAATGCTCCTGTACAGGCCACCCTCCCACAATGACTGGTATCAGTCATCCGTGACATCACTCTTGCCTGTTAAAAAATTTTTGAACAATGTCCCTAAAAACTTCTCTATTAGTTTTCCTAAGTTCAACTACATATCAACCTTTCAGATATAGTTTAGCACATCTTTAACATAGTTTCATATAAACATTAGAACATTTATTTTTAATTTATATTTCTAAATAACAACAATTTATTTTATAGTAATAAAATAGAAAATTAGCATAATGTTATAATAATATAATTTTTAGGATTTTTTTTTTTTTTTTTTTAAATTATAAAAGAAATTACTAAAAAATTAATAATAATAAATGCACAAAAGAAATAATAATTAAATTTGAATATTGGGTTTATATATATGTATTTGAATATTTACTAAAAAAAAATTAGATTCTTCATATCTTAACAGGTATTTAATTATATTTTA